GATTTATACTTTTTAGTATTAGTATTTTATACTTTAGTTTAGTTTTTCTTTGATTAATAGTGGCTTCACTTATTAATCGTTATAAATCTTTTGATTTATTTTTATTCTTTACTTTATCTTTTTGTCCCTTTTTCAAATTACTTTTGTAATTTAGATCTTTGAATACACAATATCCATAGATATTGACACAGGTCTTAGAAACCTTTGCTAATATTTATAATTCATTCTCTTTACTTAAGTTTAATTGCCTTTCTCCCAACATCATATACTTATAGTGATTCTCAGTGAAACTTACTATTTAGAATCACTATAATACTATATTTATATATAAATAAAAAAGCAAAATAGAGTGACTATAAAGAGGTATAATTATAAATAAATATAATTATAAAGAGATTTGACTATAATTTATTAACTATTCTATAATCTTATATATTTTTTTGACTGAAAAAATTTAGATTGTTAAGTTGATATATCTTAAAAAATTTGAATAATTATAATAATTAAGTGACTTGCACTATAGTTAATATAAAAAATATTGACTAAATTATACTAATATTTTGTTATTATATTAATAATATTTAAAATTACAAAAATGCTATTATTATTATTTTTTATTTATATAATATAAAATATGTAATAACTATCATATTATCATATATAATACAAAATTATATAAATAATTTTATAATTATTTAATTATCTATTTATTTATTTTGATATTTTATTGGTTATACTTAATTATATATTAAAATTCAAAATTATTTTGTTCTTATAAATATTAATATATTTTTTAATTTGATTATAAAGTATAATATAAAAATAATAGAACTATTAGAAAATTTTAAAAAATTTTACTCTTATTTAATATTTATTTAACTTATTATAAAATTAAAAAAGCAATATTATTTTAATATAAAATATTATAAATAAAATTGATTATATTAATTATAATAAATTAAAAGAAGTTTTATCTACTGAAATTTTTTATTTTATTTATTAACAAATAATTTTTAAAATAATAATTATAATTAGTTTAACTTAAATATATTAAAATTAAATTATATTAATATGAAAATTGTTTATTTTTTTGTAATTTAATTTATTATAATGATTGTATATATCAGAAGAGATAATACTAATTAATTATTATTAGAAATCAATAAAAACAAATTATTCTTATATTTAATAATTTAATTAATATATTATTAATCTAAAAAACTATTTAAAAAAATCAAAAATTTTAAAATTGAATTAACTTTATTTTTTAATATTATTAACTTACAAAAATACTTGACAAATTTATCAAATAAAAATCATTTTATTTTTTATAATAATAAAAGTGCTTATAAAACTTGCATTCAAATAATTATATAATAATAATATTAAAATAAAATATATTAATCTTGCTTTCAAGTTCTATAATAATAATGGAAAAAATAAAGACTTGAACAAGTTTATAAAACTAATACTAACTTCAAATTAGATATATTAAAAAAAACAATTTATTATTAAATTACAACAAATAATATTAATTAATTTATAAATTATTATAAAAAATATTTATTGGAATAATATATTAATTAATGCCTTAATTATTTTTTATTTAAAAATAAAATTGATATTAAAAATAAAAATATTAACTCCAATTATATTTAAAATATAAGTATAATTTTATATAATCAATTTAATTATTTAACTCAATAAAAAACTTATTCAAGTAGTATTTTTATTGATTATTAAAAGATTCTAACTAGTTTAAATTTATTAAAAACTAGATAAAACAAATTAAAAAACTAATAAATTTGAATTTGTCAACAATAAAATCATATTTTTAAGTTATAAATTCCTGCTCGACAAAAAACGAACTATCTGAAAAGAGTAGCAATTGAAACAATTACTCCTTAATCAAGCAGACAGAACGCATTCAGCCAATTTAATTCAGATTATTCTAAGCTGTTAAAAACTCGGGTAATCCACTCGGAAACATAATATATACCTCATTACCATAGAGAATCTTCCAACTGTAATTAGCTAAACCATTTTTAGAAATCACGTGTTTTTCTACAAGTTATCAAAAAACACTTTTTAAGTAAATAATATAATTTAGATTTTAAGTTCAAAAAATGTGACAGATCACGTAATTTCAGTTTCTTAGTGTCAAGCACTTTATAAAAGGGACGATGTACATGTAATTGTTAAGATTTTATTCATACGAACAGAAAATAGAGCAAAAGAAAACAAAAAAAAATGTCGACAGCAGCAGTCAGATACAGCAAAACACTCGATATAAACATTACAATTACATTGACGATAATAATGACAAAGTCCATCTTAGAAGATTATTTATTTCACACACAAATGCATACTACACATCTGAATGAGTGTTGCACTTTCTAAAATTACATGTATATATCGATGTGGCTTCTAATTTCAAATTGTATTTTTCTGTGTAAGATTCTCTTTTAAATAGTGACTGACTGAAAAAACAATACGTACTTTGTTGTTATTACGTATAATAGCTCGATAAATTTGAAGTCGCAGCACAATTACTGTATAGTACAATTTCTTTGGTGCAGAATTGTATGCACACTACGTATGATGATGTTAACAAACCTAATCCAAAAAGGCTACAAATAAAAAAGAGATTTATTTACATCAATATTGAATTTCATCCATTTAATTTCGCCCAAGACTAAATTGGATATTTTAGTTTTGTCTGATACACATTAAGAATGCAATGCAATGGTAACCTCTATAGACGATGACCATTATTGTAAATAAAAGAACATTGACATTAACAAATATAGATCGATATCGATATATATTCGCTCAATTCCGACTATCATTTTTTCTAAATTTGGAACTGATATTATTAAAGGACCATTTAAAGAAAATTCATAGTGGTGTATGGTACAAATGTATAAATGTTAGTTTAAATTATCAACGTCAAACAATGTTCTATTTAGCGTTAGGCATTGTTACAAAAGTCAGTTTGTCGTGTGAATATGTGATCATTAAATTGATCTATCATAAATTCATTTTCTCATTTTTCTATAAAAATGAACAATTCAAAATCTTCCATGTGAAAAACAATAAATTTCACACTACTAATAAAGACCATATATTTCATTCAACAGTGAACAACGAAAATGAACAAACAAAGCTCTCCAATATTTTTTGGTTACTCTGACCTTCTTCATATTTGTCATCTTTTCATCGGCCAATGCCATGCCTAAAGGGATTGAAAAGAGAGCATGCGAACAGATAACCCGCTCCTGCATATTTGTACCTGTAAAGGTAAATCCAAAACAAAAAGTCGAAGGTCGAATTGATTTCCAACAACAAGTCAGTTGCAGTGTGATTTTCCGAGGACTGTTATCCACAGTTCATTCTCCCGATGCAACCGGCTATGATACTCTTCTTGCACACTACAAGATCTATATTTCCAAAACCCCCGATGTTACAGACCCTGATTTCTTCGATCTAGGAAAGCATATCACTACACCTTCTGAACCAGACAGAATCAATGAATCTTTTTCCATCACATTACCACCAGTCATACCAGGAGAAAAATTTCCTGCAGATTTTTTACGACTGCAAAAAATATTATTGCGTGGTAGCGTTCAAAGGAACCCCGGATATTATTCTTGGATCTACTCTGGTCATTGACCCTAACTACCCATAAAACCTAATTCTGTGATATAAATTATTTTCTATCACTTTGATGATATACCTTATTCGGTTTGAATTTTTTTGCCCTTTCTCTTAACATATACACATGTCGATGTAATTTGTATCTTTGTAAATTCCAACAAAAAGTTACATTTTTTCACTTCTAGATAAATAGATAGGTTGGTAGATTATATTAAATATATCAATTGTACTTTTTAGCGTTATCAACCGAATAAAAGATCCGTAATTTATTTGGCTCAGTTATGTTTAGTGTTAGTGTATCACGAAAGCTTTGGGTTGTATACGTGATGTTATGTGTTTATATTGCTTATCATGTCGCTTGAGAATTTTCTAACATCTAAGCAAACTTCCATTTCTGCAGCAATCACGATTTTCGAAGTAGAAGTTTATCTTCGGGTTGGTTTGGTAGACAGTGATACACAGTCAACGTCAATATAACAGACCCCTCCGTTCCTGACATGCTGTCTGGTAAATCGAGGATCCGCTATAACAGACAAAATTTATGTAATGTTATTTATAGCTGGTTCCGAAAAATAGTCCGTATAGACCAAATCCGTTATATCGAGTATACGTAATCTGGTTATGCAAAAATCAATTTTAGATGAACATTTGATCCGAATTATCCTATACGTACCGGTACAGTACGTATCAGTAAATTTGATCTACATACTGTTACCGGGTTAACGTTCAGAATAATTTCACTAACGCTAATCTCTCAATTTTGGTAAATCTGCCTAACCCGATTTCGTTAGTTTAATTTCGCTTTGAAATTCTATTTTTATTTCACTTTTGTTTTCTATTTCTATTTCACTTTTATATTTTTATTTTGCTTTTGTTTTCTATTCTAAATTCGCTTTTGATCTCACTTTTATTTTCACTTTTGATCTTGCTCTTATTTTCTATTTCTTTTTCAATCTTAAATTCTCACTTAAACACTAGAGTACATTATGCAACAAGTTCCGAAACAATACTTCATAATGTAACCAAAAAAAAGTATATATAGATCTCGCAGATGTTAATAAAGGAACAGAATTAAATTGCATGCAATTCTTTTCCAAGTAAAATTAGACTTGTAAAATTGTTGTAATTGATTGTGGTTAGGTCCTTTAGTCCAGAAAAGGTGCTTTATGATTAAACAGTTTAAGGCTTTTAGCTAGAAAAAGCAAGGATTGGAAGTTAATAGGAAGAATATTATGATAACCTTCACATAAAAACATAAAAACCCAAAACTACCTTACCTAAAAACTGACCCATCCAAATTCCCCTCTCTACCGTCATACTGAACGATATCCGTAGATATCGGCACAGGAACTAGAAACAAACGAACATCACTCAATCTAATAGCTCCCCAACCATTGTTGCAGGTAAAATTGTCGATTACGCATAATCACGATCCACCCGTGACAATACGTACATAGTTCCCAATAAAACGTGCATATCGATATTAAATATTTTCATAAATAAATTCAAGAACGTTTTCATTTTACGCGATATCTTGTGAACCAACATCAAAATTTTTTGAAATTTGAGAATATTTAGAATAGAACTAGACCAATATTTTTTATTAATAGTATTAAATGCATTAAAACTTAGTATTGTGACTAATTTCTCGTTCAAAGTTTACGAACGATTTTTTGAAGCTCGTAGAATTCTCATTTGCATCCGAAATCGCATAAAACTTTTTTTTCATATAATAGAATTATATATGGTAATCAAGTTTAATTATTACGTAAATAGAGGTTTTATTAGTAAAAAAATGAACTTTCATTTTATTTTCGTTTCAGGTCAACCCGAACTGAACCGAAACCGGCCCATGCGGAGCACTACTTGAGGTCCCTAAATCAGGGTTGTTAATGTTCTGTCCAATGGGAACTGTTGAACATATAATAAGTTCTATTAGACATAATGTGTCTTATTGGATAGAAAATTATCAAGTTTTCCCGGAATGGATTTTCAAATATTATTTCATTTTACTTTTTCTCTGAATATACTACGAAGCTTATAAAGTGTGTTTGTAAGATTATTATGCTAATCTTGAAGTATAGAAGAAGCAAGTTAAATAAATAATCAAAGCAAAAATCTATTTAAACATACAACTTGATCTTTATTCCAAACAAGCGTTATATACATGTATATGTATAGTGTATTGTAATTTTACAGAAAGTAGCAGAACCGGCATAAAATGCTGTGTTATGTTACATTCTACCACATAAAACCTTTTATGTAACCAGTGGGGATACATTGCACATAAGATGATGATATATTGTATGGATTAAATTTGTAACTTTAGCCAGAATTAAAGCATATAAGGCCAGAACTAAAGGAGACGTTACATTCTACCAAAAATTTGGCCTAGGTACTCGGGTACAAGTCTGTCTTTTAGACAATATTTGAAGTAAGAATATGCAAAATCTTAGTTTATAACAATTTGTCTAAAAATATTGTGGATTCTAATGCTTTAAATTTTGTATTCCTTTCTTCCTTTGTATTTGAAGGGTACACCACCAGGAGAGATTTTTTTTACAGTATTTGACATTCAGAGCATTAAGTTTTTCGTTGCTCTTTTTAGTTTTTTTTGCGTTACCAAGTTATATAATTTATTATCGTATATACAGTTGTCTCTCTTTATAATAACATTTTTGAAAATTTTATGGCCCGACCATGTTCTTATAAAGAGGGACGATGTATATGCGTTTGTTAAGATTTTTATTCACACGAACAAAAAATAGAGTAATAGAAGACGAAAAAGAAATGTTGCCAGCAACCGAATACGACAAACCACTTGATATAAACGTTACAATTACATTAACGATAATAATGCCAAGTCCACCTTGACCTTATTAAAATACTTCAAGTAAAAAAGTCTGAAAAAAGCAAAATCTATATACTGTTAAAAAAACTTGTTTGTTTTCAATACTATCTTTAATTATAACAATAAATCCTTATAATCACGCTGTCGGTCACATAGTAATTTTTTTAAAAAATGTGCTTCTAAAAAGGTATGCTTATTTTTCTATAAACTTGATAATAAATGGTCACATGTAAAGGTGTGCTTATAACGAGGTTTTTATATGATGTGTTTATAGAGAAAGTGATTAAACTGTGCATCAGATTATTAGCGTTTCGATTGTTCTTTAGAATACATGTATGTAGAAACTCAAAACTGATTACGTACACGAAATCACAACACCACAACATGAACATCAGCAGAGTAAATTCGATTTGACGTTATTGTGTATTTTCATGTCATGATGATGCAATGTTCTTTTAATGATACACGAGAAAAAAACTACATGTACATGTACATGTATACTGTACTTCAAAATAGTTAGATTATTTTATTCATACGCATATCCTTTTCGGTATACATTGCCCTGAAAATTGAAATACATACTATTTTTTTTAATTCTCAAACTCGATTCAAATTTTGTTACAAGTTTTGTGAAACGAGTCTCGAACCATCAATTTAGCTACGTATTTACCGTTATGTAATGCATACTGCACATCTGAATGAGCATTGCATTTTAAATACATGTACATGTACGTAGTGACTGAAAAAAAACAATACATTTACGCATACGTACATAATTACTGTACAGTAACATTTTTTTGATGCAAAATTGTATGGTGCCAACAAACCCAACGCTAATCCCAAAAAGCTAAATGTTTCGCCTTTTTTCTTTAGGTAGAAATCTAAAACAAAAGTAGTGAAAGTAAAAACGAAACCATTTTCCTATCAATGCACACACAGATCTGCATGACTATGGCTGTAAATATTCGTCAATTCAACATTCATTTTTCTAAATTTGGAACTAAAGGACCATTTAAAGAAAATTCATAATGGTTACGGACGTATAAATATATCGTCAAACAATGTTCTATTTAGCGTTAATTCAGTTTTTATTATTTTGTCGCGTGTGACTATATGACCCTTGAAATTGAATCTCCTTTTTCTATAACGGTCACAGTATATGTTCTTATATGTTTCTTAATAAAATAACGGAAAACACAATTTCATAACTTCAATAGTATTACAAATTCACCTATTAATTTCAAGTTTATTTATCGTTGCTATAACTGAAATATTTTTTAAAAGATCTTTGCGTAAAATTCAGATGTACATGTAATTGTACGTATATACATGTATTGGTTAAAGATCTACATCAAAGAGCAAATGTCAAATGCATAGAAATGAGGACCGCACTATTATTACATGTACGTATATCGATATGGTAAGTACGTATGATACATGTAGACGAAAACTTTAATGTACAACAATCGTTTTTTCTAAATTGCGCCACATTCACACTTAACGTATTACTCATACTAGTAGGTGACGCTGACGCGAACGAATGTACAATCCAACAATCGTTTTTTCTAAATTGTGCCACATTCACATTTAACATATTACTCATACTAGCCAGCGAACTCGTCGTAATGTGTGAACCTTGTATAAATTCTTTTTTTGTCATTCCTCCTTTCTCTATAAAATGTGAACAATTCAACCCCTTTCCCAATAGTAGAAATCAACAAATTTCATATTTCATTTAACGCTAAGCAATTTAGCCAAGACAAACATGAACAAACAAATCTCTCCCATGTTTTTTTTTGTTGCTCTTATCTTCTTCATTTCTTTGGCTAGTGCTGCGCCAACATGCAGTCAATCTACCCGCCGTTGCCAATTTATCCCACCAAAAATTGGCGGCGAAATTATTTTTCAAAGACAGGTCGATTGCTCTGTGATAATCTTTGGCCAATTCAATTTTCATCCAGATGAAATGAATTTACCAATTGAATTGGAAAACTACGATATACATCTTACTTTAACCGGAAATACCGAAACTCCTGCAGATCCTTCCAAAGATGATCTTGAGGATAGGGTCAATCTTAGAAGCCCACCATTCCGACCAACTCAAATTAACGAGGCCTTTAGATTCACTTTAACCAATTTTAAGGTCCCTTTTGATACGATCACAAATTACTATTGTGTACTGGCATACGACGATTGGAATCGTTATACAGGAATTCTTGGAAGCGAGGATGTGTTTCTTGGATCTGCCAAGATCGACCCTGCCCCTTAAATTTTGTTTTTTACTTTTCTGCTTTATAGATATAATTTGTATATAATATACAAAGCGTACCTTTATCGTTATCAATCAAATAAAGAAGATGATTAGAATTAACATTTAGCCTAACGCTAATTATAAATTTATAATCAATGATAATATGTCGATTGTGAATTTACCAGCATACGTACTATTATTTGAGTAGAAATCCTGGTTTCGGAATCGGACTGCTCCACAGATGGGTCTTTTTAGCGTTAGGAAAAATAGAATTATTCAAATCCAATTTGGATGTTCTAACGGCTTGATTCCATCAACGTTAGACTCTCAATTGTCTTTATACATCATACCGAGCAGGATTTTTATATTTCTACTGATAATCGAGAATGAGGATAATGGCGTTATATTGTGATTCATTATGATATTATTATATCGATATGCAAAGTTTAAAGCTAACAAGTTTACAAGGAAAGAAATATCATTCATAAAGTAACACCAGAACACATGTAGTGTTGGTATTGTTGTATATCGATATATTTTTTTTGCAATTTAACACAATTGATTTTAAAACCGGTTGGAACGTATGTTGTTGCGACGTCTATTTTGAGTTTCTGTCAACGACTTGTCTACGGGTTTTTTCATCCAACAGTTTCCTTGCTTATGGCATACTGTGTTGGGTCGTATCAAACATCCCTTCCGGCTATGGCCTCAGTTAAGGGATCGAACGCTATCTAATTTCTAATGAATAGAATAAAAAGTGAATTGTCTTTTCAAAAATATAACGAATCACTTATAAATGAATCGTTCTACCTCTCCCATTCCTAGGATTGTAAATGGAGCAGCATACTCCGGGATAACTCCGGGTTACTATGTAATTTCTAAATTTCACTCCACTCCGAAGCCATAATTATATTATAGGATCAAGCAGATGTGGGTAAATAAATTTGTGATTATTGTTTCCTCAGTCTGAAAATATATATTGACAAATCATATATAATTTGTGAGTATTATAAAATGAATTTAGTTAGCTAATTATGTATAATACAGCTTTTGCAATTTATTAACAAATTTATCTATCAATATGTGTTCTAATTGATTTAAAGTCATGCAATTTTTATATAGTACCGGACAGTAACTTGATAATCAATAATTGTATAAAAATTCCTCTTACAGTTTGATAGTTCTTTAATAAAACTATATAATTCTGTAAGAGGATTTTTTATTTTATCTTGTTTTCAAAAAGTTATAATTTTACTAATATAAAATAAAGAATTCTGATTGGTCAAATTAATTATTATGTATAAGATCTACAATAAATTTTGGCGTTTTGGCGCAGTATAACTTTGTTTATTAAAATGCCTCATAAACGTAAAATATCTACTTTAAATTAACAAGGTTTATTAGATAATGAATAAGTCCGAGGGTACTGTATAAGAAACATTAACAGAACATACTGCAAGGATGTTCTCAAGCTCAAAATCGATGAAATGATTATCTTTCAAGTCTTCATTGACTTTATCGACCAAATCGCTCAAACTATCAAACAGGATTCAAAATTTGATTTCAAGTCTTCTAGGCATGAAGGTATATAGTGACATCAGTTATTATGGTTGAATGACATGATGACCCGAAGGTCAATCTTATTCATTCTCTTCATCGACTATTATTAAGCTTTTTGTATTCACATAAACAGAAAATAAAAAAGATGAAAAAAGAAAGTTGATGTTATTCGTTATTTCGACATTTATGCCAATTGTTTTTTCAAGAACAAATTAACATAAATGATACGGTTTTTGTAATGAATGTAAAGATATTTATGATAACATATACAGAACGATCATTATCAAAATGGAAAAAAAAGATATTTGATAAATTAGGTAGGATTATTTATTTTATCATCAAAGCTGACTAAAAATTTCGTAAGTGCGATTGATGAAACTCTTGCATCCCATAATCCATGCAATCCTCTTAGAAAGTTACGGAATACTTTGGACAATTTTGGTGTAAAAGATACATGTATGAGATTGACAGTGTTATTTTCTCAACTGAAAAAAACGAAACGAATAACAATAATTAACGAATTTAACGAATTCGATTCCTCGTCAAATTCGAAAGCAGAAAATCTTATCGAAATCGAAGAAAGAATAGAAAAGAATAGAGAAATAAATGCTGAAAAAGGTATTCATTCTTTAACATTCATGGTGGTTTAGAAAAACCCTATCATACTGAAGGAATTTTATTGTATTCTTTAAGTTGTTCGTGCGTGATTTATCCCTTTATAAAAAGCAAGCACGTAAGATTTGCGGAATTGCAAGGTACGTACAAGCACGGGAAACGCAACAAATTCCGTATTGTTACTTTTTTTAGCATGGAACCACGGACAGTTAAATTTCTATGTCAAAAAATTATGCCCGAAACGCGTTTCCCGTGCCACTCTGGATCATTTCGTACATTCCTTGCATTTAAGTGTTTATCTTTTTTTTATTGTGCTGCTATTGCTTTTAGGATGGCTTAATTCATTAAATAATTATGAAATTTGGAGAGTAGCTGGATATTCGGACATATGCTCGATATTTGACATTATAGATAAAGAAAGACGGGGGTAAAAGTTGCTGCTGCATCTGGAAAGGCAATCCTTGATTCTCAAGTCGTTAAATTTGATTCCATCTTCGACTTAGCTTATAGGAGAACATTTGTTTACAATATTCCTAAAAAATTAATACTTCAGATAATGATCAAATGTTCTTAACTGTGACGGTAATAATAGACGATAAACCCAGAAATGACTTTGTTGCTCGACTTCATTATATCGATGAAAAAAGTCCGCCAGTTGTTCTTGTGCAACGATTAGGAAAGCTGAAAACTAAAGCGACACGAAAATGTTTTCTTTCAAGTTAGGATATATCAATATTGTTGTTGGCAAATCACTCCAAATCTATTTGAGCAGAAATCTGAGCAGACGACTTTTGAAAGTTCAGAGACTTCATTAATTATAACAAAAACTGATGTTCAACTGTTAATTAAATCAAACTCGGAATCCAAATACAAGTCTTATAGCCACGTTGTGTTACGAAATCTAAAAATATGCAAGTGATCCGAGGGATTCTGAATTTGCAATAGGAGCTCATTTTAATATTGAAAATAGCACCACTGAAATTTTTGAATTTTTGTTGTAAGAAATATTTAAATTGAATGCTTTTTTATTTATAGCAAAACTAATGTTTGCTATTTTTCTTTTATATTTATAATTCAAAGTGAATCCATACAACCAATTTGATGGTCTGTCTGCCAGACAATCTATTTCTTAATCACGGGTGAATTTTTTTTTCTAGCACTAGCAGTAATTCTTAATTTATACTTCTAATTATTTGATTTGCAGTATTATATCCGGACAACCAAATTTGCTTTTCGGTCAAGCCCAAATAATTAAGAAAAATTTCGACCGATTTCTACTTTAAAATTATGTACACTCGGTGGACAAAAGTCTGGGATCGGGCAATGATCGACGCAATTGGGGGGGGGGGGTAATTTCAAACGTCTACGTATTGTGCAACAAGGAAAGGTTCAATTACAACGCACTTTAGTTAATTAGAAAGAAGAAATCTCAAGCTTTCAAAAAAACTGATGTCAAATCCAACCAATACTCGTCAAAATTGCGAACTTACAGATTTTGAGCGTGGCGAGATAATCGGTGCTTGGAAGTGGGTTTTTCCGAAAAGCAATTGGAGATACTCTAGGGCGACCCAAATCTACTGTTCATAATGTTATTAATAAATACAAAGAGTTTGACCAAACTACAGTTGCCGCCCGGAGTGGTAGATCATGAAAGTTAGATGATAGAGCTATTCGAAGATTAATTAATATTGTTAAAGAAGATCGACAACAAGCAGTTGACGAAATTACTGAAAAATTCAATACTGCTATGACTGTTTCTGTTAGTTCCAAAACATACGACGTACTCTTCACAAATCTGGGTTTTATGGTTGGGCTGGGTTGAGAAACATTTTATATCTGAGGAAAATCGTCAAAAACGAGTTAAGTAGTGTTTAGAAAGAAAAGATTGGATTAGTGAATGGGAATTAGTAATTTGGAGTGATGAATCAAGATACCTAATATTCTGAAATGATTCCCGGCAATGGGTTTGGCGCAGACCGCATGAAAAATACGATGTTGATTGCCTTCTTCCTAGTATGAAATCGGGTAATCAGGGAGTAATGGTATGTATGGGGATGTTTCACTCAAAATGTACTTGGACCATTAATCGAAGTTAGCGGCACAATAAACAGTCCAAAGTATATAGAAATAATGGAAAAAAATCTTCTGACATTTCTAAATGATTGCCAGCTAGTTCTGTTCATCTTTTTCAAGATGATAATGTTTCAGTTCACAGATATCGTCCAGCTAGTGAGTGGAAAGAGGAAAATTTAATAACTTCACTTCCATGGCCTGCCCCGAGCCTGATATAAATCCAATTGAGCATTTGTGGGATGTTTTGGAAAGACGAATTCGTGCACGTCTAACTCACCCCAGAAATCTAGAAGAATTGATGGACGCACTTACGGAGGAATGGGAAACAATTGAACCAGAAGTTTGGTTGAAAGTATGCCGAGAAGAGTACAAGCTGTAATTGAGGCAAATGGGTATCTAACCCGGTATTAAAACATTTATACAAAAAGCCCTACTTTTTCTGAATAAAATAATATATTTTTTATTGAAGTTTTTTATGAAGAGGTCGAGTAATATTAAATTAAAGTATCCCAAAATGTCACGATCTACATTGTTGATCATTTCCCGATGCGATAAAATTATCATAACATGCAATGTGGCGGATCATATGACAGGTCTGTGCGACAGAATATTCAACTATCAATCTACAAGGATCGAAGTGTAAAAGAATCTTTTTTTAGTATAGATTGCAATTATGTGTGTGACTTGCAATGCATAAGCAATACGCAAATATCAAATATCCTAAAAATGGTACCGGCACTTTTTCAGCACTCAATGATCATATTATTATATATAGCGAGAGAATAGTGATTCAAATCAGTACTGGACAATAAAGCAATAATACACAAAGAAAATTTTTTAGTTAAGATTACACTTTGAATAGTATCATTCATCTCAAATTTCTACCTGGAAACTCCGTTCTCTCATTCAAATAACATTGCGAGAATGTCTTCTATCGAAATCTGTGCCTTTCAGAACGTAACAGTGCCAGACATTGACAACGTTCAACAATCAATTCAAGGGACTCTAAATGGATTTGATCAGATTGTGAAACTTGTGACTCAAGGCCAGATCATTCAAACTTCAGACGAGGTCATTCAAACATGCATCGAAAAGATACTTAATGAAGGAAAAATCTTCTGCAAATTAACCCGTGAAAGTGCATCTGGAAGCGAGAGAATAGCTCATTATTGCTTAGACATTATATCATACGTCGAGACACTTACGAATGAAAAAATAACTGGTGAAGAGTTTCTTGAGGTGCTTGATGGTTTATTGTCGAATGCTAATAAGTGTAAGAGTGAAGCTGTCTCCTTAAAGAACGGATATACTCAAATTTATAACAACTTGAATGAAATCTCCGAAGATTTAACAGAATATGAAGATCATCTTCAATCTGCAATAGCTAAAGAAATTAATGACTCAAATAATATGAGTGAAGAAAAAAAAGAGGCTAAAACATTAAAATGGATGAGCATTGCTGCTGGTGCAGGATTAACTGCCCTAACTCCTTTTACGGGTGGTCTTTCTGCAATCGGTGTACCCTTTACGGCGCAATGGGCCAGTGAAAATGCGACAAAAGAAAAAGAATATCGCGTCTCTAGAGATCAAGCTCGTGCTACTGTGTTAAAATTGAATGGCATTAGATGCTCTGCCCGAGACATTATTACACAAACAAACTCCATCATCGATATTATTGACCACTTTCAAGTGTTCTGGGATAAGCGGGTCGATGAAATTCAACTCCTCACTACAGAATTCGAGGAAAAAAAGACGAAGCATTTGAAATACAATAAATTGAGTGCATCTCCGGTTATTAAAAAATGGGGAAAATTTTGTGATCGGTACACCTCCTATTCAACTAATGTCAGGTCTTTGTTGAATAATGCTGAGGTGGATGGAAGAATTGCAATATCTAATTGATTTCACATTTTTATCATGTTTGTATATATTTGTACTGGTGTACATCTAAATTTATTTTCGTAGAAAAATGAATAGTCTATTGAGAACTTGATGCAATTATATACGTATACTCTACCATACAAATGTGATTGGTTGATATTTGTACATTTAGAACACCTTAATTCGATACTATACATATTATCGTTATATACATATATAAAAAATGGCTTGGCGAATAAACACTTTTTTACACGCGTGAGATGTTTAATACACTCGTTGCCTTCAATTCGTGATTGTTTGACCAACACCGAAAGTTGTGGTTGTGTTATCACTGGGTGTCTAACCAAGCGAAACTCTTTATAAAATGCTATGTGATAAGCGATAAATACGTTGGAAACACGTGATGTTTCTGGCCACTAACTTCGTAATGAGATTAATTTGTGTAATTTCTGAAGGGAAACGAATGTAAATTTCTGGCATTATGTATTCTCACTTATTGGATGCGACTGATCTGATGTTTAACAGATAATTATTTTGAATTTATTTTGATTGAGTTTTCGAATGAATTGGAATTGTAAAAAGCCAGAAGTGAGTACGTACTCGCACTATTTATAAATAATGTTTTATATGTATGCATATTCTATATTTTCTATTAGAAATGATAGTGTATGTATTAATAATCTATACAATACCTGACGATAACGCCAAAATTAACCAATTTTTAATATTCTTCAATACGCACGCAAAAAGGGGGTGAATTAAAAGCATAAGGTAGCCCGCCCTATTTCCGTGCACTTTTATTGTTACATATAAAATATTTTATATAGTTAATATTTCTTATCAAAGTTTGCACATCAAATCTATAATATTTATATAAAAATTTTTATTAGCTATTTATATAAAAAAGAAATAATAAAAGAAACAAAATTAGTATAAATTTATAAATTTAGAATATATACTGTCCTATTTCCGTGCATCTATATGTTTTGCAATTATATACTTAGTTAAATTTAGATTTTTTTTCATTGATATATCTTTTAGGTTTATTTTTCATTATTTAATTTATTGAATAATTAATAAAACACTGACCTAGTAAAAATTGAAATTTTCGCTCTGTAAAGAAGATTTTATTTTAATTAATAAATATTTTTTGTTTTCATATCCAAATAAAGCTAAGAATCGATATATTTTTTATAGATTTTTTAGATTTATTTCATGAAATTCTTCTGATTGTAAAAATTTTTCATAATTAAAATTTAAACTTAATTAATAATTTTTTGCAAATATTTTACAATAAGAAGAATTTCATGAAATAAAATCTAAAAAATCCACAAAAAATATATATTGAAATATAGATTCTTAGCTTTATTTGGATATGAAAACAAAAAATATTTATTAATTAAATAAAACTTTTTTACAGAGTGAAACTTTCAATTTTTACTAGATTTCACTATCAAAATTTTTATATGCACGGTGATTTATCGTAGGTCAGTGTACCAATTTTGTGTTAATCCTTTGTAGCCTAAACTATATTTTTATAAAATTTTGAGACAATAAGTGCACGAAAATAGACTCAATTTTATTTATATTATAAATTATTATCGAAAAAATACAAATTATATTCTGAACATATTTAATTAATAACCTTAAGTAGGATTTTATAATGAAATTATGAGATATTGAGTACACGGAAATAGGTGCATACACGGAAATAGGGAGGGCTACCTTAACGATTAAACATTTATTAATCCTTCATCCTAGACAATACTTACATCGATATCGATATGTTTTATATAAATCCTATTCATTCCTCTAATTTAAGAGCTATGTAATTGATGTTAAATTGTACCAGTACATCACAAACATTCATAATAGTTCGCTTAGAAGTGTGTTTAATGATGAATATTGTGGTAATTGTTGATTTAGCTGGTAACATATTGTGCATTGCATTCCCATAGGTGTTTTTATAAAATGCAGCCAGACAGTTGAACTATTTGCATTAAGAATGCTTATATCAGATTCGATAATAGTTGCAGAGATTTGACTTATTGATTCATCTGGCTCAATACTTTCTTGTCTTTCGAAACTAACAAACTCAAAATCTTCGTCCATTACGACACAAATAAAAAATAAGAATAATTAGCATTTTTAAATTTATTTGATCAATAAAATTATCAAACTTAGAGATTATAATACAAATAAAATATTCATTAGTCTAAATTTATCAAAAAATTATTTTTTATATAATCAAAAATAATTAAATTGATCGATTTGAAACCGGTCTCAAAAACCGGTTTCGAACAGAATATAAAACCGACACATCACTATATGTACGTACATGTGCAATCTATGTCTAAACCATGTACATTTGGAAGTTGATATGCATTATTAACAAAGATGAGCATGTTTGATTCACTTGGTTGGTGAAAAACAAAAATATATTTTGATATACTGTTGGAGTCGGACCAAATGCTTATAATTTAAATAATGATGAAATCGAAGCTAGCTTAATTTAATTGACAGTTTGAAAAGTGAAATTTTGTTTCAAAGGAGGACTTAGATTATAACTTGTGTATAAATTCGTTTGAGAGCCATCTTCAGTTAATAAGCTTTTCCCCGGAATAATATTTATAAGATATGAGGTTGGATTGCAACTTCGTTCAATAAACGATTATACAAATAGTTTGTCGATTTTGAGTATGTGAAATTGATTCTATCAATAATTGCTCTATTCAATAATTAAACGTTTTTGCTAGAGAAGACAATTTAGACATGAAACAAGTTTTCTTTCTTTGAAGTGGTTAACACAATTTCAAGAAATCCAGAATCAATCAATAAACTTGATGCATCTCTTGATAGCTGAAATTAAACCTAAAGTTTTGCGTACTGAGAATTTTGCAGTGAAAATTGAGATTCTAATAAGAAATTGTTAAATTTACCGATTCAGGCACATTTGTTAATAATATTGTGGCTAGTGTCAAGTAAAAACTTGTTTCATTACCTTCAATTGGTTTTAGGAAACTTGTAAAGCAATCCTCAACTTATCAAAGTAACAGAGAAATTAAACAAAAAGTTAGAACGTTTGGAAAAACTTTCTCGAGAGCTATGCTAAATTCTGACACTTTACTACTGGTACGAAAATTTGTCAATAAATACATAATTCACTATTATGCGCAACCGGCTAGTTTATTATTCTCATTGTAATACATAATGCGCTTTCGGGTTAATACGTACGTATATGTAAAATCAAGATCATTAAGCATGTGAACAATTTTCTCGGATAAATTATGATCCTTTTAGAAAATTTGCGTTGAGAAATTTGATAAAAAGAGGCGAGAGTTCACAGAATCAAGGTTGTTATTTTTTGTTTTATATAAAAGAAAAAGTTTTCATTAATCGATTATTATTCGTATTTTCGACCACAAATATTCACTATAGGTTTACGTTGCAAGTTTTCACATTCATTTAAGAGTTCTCTATTTTTATCTTTATTGATAATAATAATATCGATATAACATTTGTCAGCTAATATTTATTTAAATAGCTCGACATGCATCAGTTTGTGTGCTCAAAATACAGTATGTGTAAATACACCAAGTGGAGCAGAACACGTTCGAGGTGAATATTATTGAAAAATAATCCATTTATTTGATTTTTCTACTTCGGAAACTCAGATGTTTTTTATCAATTATTAAAAGGGAGTACTGGTATGTATCCAAATCCAGCTAATTGAGGCGGTTAAAGCAGAGTAAATTTCTACACCCAAAATTCAGCATAAATAAAATTTTTTGTTAATTATTAGCTATCAATATACATGTACATGTATTACATGTACATGTAATATGTACGCACATGTATCAGCATGTGTTATTATTGTGATTTTTATGGTTATGTATACGTACATATAACGATAACTAAACTAAGTACATGTACATGTATACGTATATGTAGATGGATATGTAAGTAAAGGACTGTGAAATTGTGCCATCCGCAGAAGGCACTTGAACTATTGTGAATTTATTTTTGGATAAATGTCCACTACAACTGTAATTTTGTTGACTCAGTACATTCACTTGTTTTAAATATACTAAAACTCTATACGTATTTCTTTTGTTTATTATCAAAAGAACATGTTTTGTCATCAAATATTTTCTGCGAAGTTATTTTGCTTTGGAAATGTTTTATTCCATTAAGGTTGATAATACATGTAATTACATTACAGGATTTTTTTTACAAATATTCTAATTTTCGAAACACATGTACATCCATGATTTTCTTATGACACATATCATTTACCATTATCAGTCAACTCTTAACGCTAATTGTAAATCGTCATAATGATAATGATAAGATTTTAGAGCACATTTTATGAAAATTGCTATATATTATTATTAATTATTCTAAATATAAATTCAAAAAATCAATTAAAATAAACATTGATAGTATGAATAAAGACTGTTTATGAGATAACAAGGATATTTCAAAGGTTACTCTATCAAAGATGCTAAAGTCACAAAATGACATATATTTATAATTGATACTACTAACTCAGAATGAAAACATAGACTAGTCAAGCTAAAGAAAAAGTCAGAACATTTGAAAACTCTTTCTCTTCAGATCAAAAGTCAAAAATGATAGTTTTAATATTTATATGTGTATTTAATAGCCCATCCTTAATAGATATGCTAAGTTCTGAAATTTTACTTCTGATTCAAGAGTTTGACAATAAATGCATAATTCACTGTTATGCGAATAAATCAGCTTTCAATAATTTATGATTTCATTTAACTTTAATTAGTGAAATTACATGGCGTTAGTAATTTATGATTTAATGAGTATACGTATACGTATGTATGATCGTGTGAACGAGTCTTCGGATGAATTTGGATCCTTTTAGAACAATGTATGCTGAGAGACTTTGTTATGTAATTAATAAAGAAAAGAGCGACAGAGTCCACAGAATGAATATTGTTATTTTTGTTTTATATAAAAGAAACAGTTTTTCATTAATCGATTTATAACATCAATAAACAACGAAAATATGAAGACAACCTCATTACGTATTTTCGCTCTATTGTTATTCGTATTTTCAACCACAAATGTTCATTCTGTGGTTTTACGTTGCAAGTTTTCACATTCATTTAAGATTTTCTATTTTTTTCTTACCAATGATAATGATTATGATAATAATCATCGAATATTTAATTAAATAGCTCGACATGCATCAGTTTTGTGTGCTCGAAATACAGTATGTGTAAATACACCAAGTGGAGCAGAATACGTTCTTCGAGGTGAATATCATTGAAAAACTATCCATTTTTGATTTTTTTATTTCGGAAATTCAAAAAGTTTTTTATCGATTATTAAAAGGGAGAGCTGGTATGTATAAAAATCCTAATTATGGAGGCGGTTAAACTCCTATAGAGATACACACCCAAACTTCTGCGTAAACAAAACTGATAAGTTAATTATAAAAACCAATAAATTATAGCGATAAAGATCAATATACATGTACATGTATTAATATGTACGCATATTTATCGTCATGTGATTTTATGAGTATATAACGATAACTAAACTAAATATATGTATATAAAGGACTGTAAAATCTTTATTATATGTACTACTACAGAAGGCCTTATTCTTATGAAGCACTTGTTTCTATTATGGTGCATAACATCTAAAGTCATCAAACGTTTGTGTTTTACAGAATGTATAAACATCTTTACTAAGAAGTAAATACAAAATTCAATCCGTGAATATGCTCAGAAAGAGCCTATTCTATCATATTCACGGATTAAATTTCGACTTCTTTGTAAAGAAGTTTATACATTTTGTAAATACAAACGTTTGATGACTTTAGATGTTATGCACCATACAACTATAATATTGCTGACTTGGTGCATTACTTTGTTTTAATTTTTTGTTTTCAAAGCACTAAATTTCTACAAGTTGAAAGACCAATTATTAATTATTTATATTATATCTTTTAATTTATTTGTAAAGTATCAATTTCTACATTTTTTCTGTTTTTTTATTTTATTTTTTTAATATTATTGCATAATTTAAAGATTGGTATAATTGTATATCTTTAGAAAATTACAGTTTCTAGAATTCAATTAAAAAAATTGTTAAATTAAATAAAATATAAATAATTTTAAAAAATTGCAAATGTATAGTGCTTGTCAAAAGTAATATACTCCCCTTAACTTTCTATAGATCATGTGTAATATATCAAAATTTTCTAAGCACAAAGAATATTACAAATACTAGTTGTTAATACTTTTTATAGATTGATAAAACTTATATTGCATATTATATATTCATAAATTTTTATGTTCCAAATACAATTATCAGAAATTTGAAATACTAGCAGAATTGAGATAAACTTTGAATCTAATAATCAAAGATGAAGAAAAAATTCAGTTTAAAAATGCAAATATATGAACCAAATTAAATGAATTTGATATCATTAGAAAGATCTAGTCAAAACATATTTAATAACATTAAAATCATTGAATTTGATTTATTAAATGTAAAAATATCACATTTCAAAAATACAGTACAAAATTATTCAAAATTGTACAAAATTTCTTTATTATTTTGCAAAGAAAATTGATTTTTGCAAATAGTTTTATATCATTAGAAAGTACTAGTTAAAATTTATTTGATAATATCAAAATTATTACTTTTGATTAATTAAATACAAAGAATTCATATCTCAAATATAATATATAATATTGTACAAAATTCTTATATATTATTTATGAGATATGATATTTTTATATCTAGTTAATTAAATTTAAAGATTTTATTATTATTAAATAGATTTTAACTAGTACTTTCTAATGATATTAAAATTATTTAATTTGATTCATATTTATATTTTTTAAACTGAATTTTTTTTCTTTTTCTTTTATTATTAAATTCAAAGTTTATTATAATTCTATTAGTATTTCAAATTTCTAATAATGAATTATTTAATTTAAAAATATTCTATTTTAATATTTAATAATCTAATTTGAGCAAAATATTACTATTTGATTTGCTTAAATTAGAAAATTAAATAATAATATTTCACTTAAATTAAATTCTATATATTAAGATAATATCCTAATTTATATTTGTTAATTATTTTTTCATTAGAAATTAATTCTCAAAAAATAAATTAATATATGCATAAAATTTTTGAATCAATAATATATTTTATATTAAAATTCTATCAACTTTTTAATTAAAATATAAATATAAATTTAATTAGTAATATTATAAAAAAAGTTTTGCTTAATATTATTTTTATAATTAACTAATTGATAGAAAAAATTTTTAATATAAAGTATATTATTAATTTAATAATTTTTATATATTTAATTAATAATTAATATATTAAATCATATTTAAATTTATATTATTATAGATAACAATAATAATAAATATACAAATATACAAATATAAATAAAATTCTAAAATTGATTTATTAATTATTATTATATTAGCATTAAAAATTAAGAATCTTTATAATAAATATAATAATATATATATAAATATTATATTTTGTATTTTTATATATAATAATATATTAATAAAAGTTAATTTACAAATACAAATAGAAGTTCTTTAATATAACTTTTATTTTTATTTTAAATATTAATTATTGATATTAATATAATTAAATAATAATGATAAATATTTAGTTTATAATAATAAATAACAAATTAACAAATTATATAATTTACAAAAAATAGATTAATAAGCTTTATTAATTTATTGATTTGGTTTTTTTATCTGTATAAATTATATTAGTTATATATATATATAGATTTTTTTCTTAAGTTTTTATAATATTGATCAAATACAATATTAATTTTGATTTTTAGCAATCAAATACTAGTTTTTTAATTATAGTACTTTTTTAAAATTTGAAATAATATTCTCATTGCTAAAATTAGAATCTTATTAGTATTTATTTACAAGAAGATGATTAGTTAAAAATTAATAATAAGATTCAACTATTCAAATATTTTTATCTTTTATATATCCTACAATAAGTGATATAAGATTAACTATTATAGGTTTGCTTCAGTATTTGGATTCTTTTATTAAGATCATGTTAATTTATAACAATATAAAATAGCAGATTCAAGTAATCTTAAACTTAAAAAATATTGGAACTCTATAGAAGATTCAACATTAATTAACACTTTATTAGATTCATGTTCAAAAACTAAAACTTTTGTGGATACTAATTAATGTAATAAGACTATATTAATATCATAGCAATAACTATTAACACTTTATAAAATGACACACTACTAATCCAAAATATAACAATAATTCTTGTATTTTAAAATTATGAGACAACAAATGATTTTTTTTGAATCACTTATCATGGAGCAAACTGCCAAAGAAATATCAGCTGAAGATAAAATTACTAGATATATTGCAATACCAATTGACTCTGAATTAGATTCATTAGATTGATGGCGCCGTTTTAGGGACGATTTTTCTGTGTTTGTAAGTATGGTATGGTGCATAACATCTAAAGTTATCAAACGTTTGTATTTTATAAAATAATAAACTTCTTTCTAAGAAGTAAATACAAAATTTAAACCGTGAATATGATAGAATTGCCCCTTTCTGAGTATATTAACGGATTAAATTGTATCTACTTCTTGGCAAAGAATTTTATACATTTTGTAAAATACAAACGTTTGATGACTTTAGATGTTATGCACCATATCGTTGTAAAATTAGTTATAATATTCTTAATTCAGGAAATTATGACTACGTGTTATGATATCGTGTAACAAATGTAGTTGTATTTATTGCATTTATCAGTTATTAGTTCGATTATGAGTTCCGCTTTCATAGTTATTCTTTTAGTAGTTAATTTTTTATTAGCTTTTCGATATATATTTTATTAATACCAAAATTGTGTAAATAGAAAGCTTCTCACTGAAACAAAAAACATAAGTTTGTATCAAATTATCAAATAAAGATAAAGATTGTCAATAAAGCATCTTCTCTTATTTGCCTTTGATTGACTTCAGAAATTTGCGTACAAACTTTACAGTAGAAGATCTCTAAATAAGCCATACTTTTGAACTCGATTAAAATGTGAACTAATTTGATTATTAACCTGTACAGGCCATATCAATAACTCATGTAATTCATTATTAACAATTGATTTTGATTTCATTAATTTGGGCAGTCTCAATAAGTCCTGAAGTTTTATTCTATTCTTTATTTTAGTTTTTGAAGACAGTCTCAATAAGCTCTTCGGTTGTTGTTAATTGAACCTTTTAAATTCTTGTTCTTAAGTTGGTCAGTTTGCGTACAAGCTGCCACAGGAGACCTCTGAAATCATAAAGAAACTCTTTATTGCGTAAATCATTCAGTCTAACTCCTAACTGAAAGTCTCCTTTATTTCCCAATCTTTTGTTTCATTCGTGATAGCATCCTGTTATTTAAGTATACAAGGTTCAAGTGTACCCTCGGAAAATTTATAAAATGCAAGCAAAATACTTTTATTCTTTAATACAATCAAAATTTTCAAAAATAGATTCAGGCTGCTCTAAAATGTACTGTTGACAGTGTGCTAAGTAATTATGGATTAACTAAAATCCTGGTACAAATGAATATTCGATCGTAATGACTTATGCAGAAATGACGAACTTCGCAAATATATTAATTCCAACTACGAAGATTGTCTTGGAATCACAAATTATGCAATTTAGTTAATCTATAGTCTGAATATAATTCACGAGAAAAGATTTGTGCATCGTGAATTTCACCCTAAAAATATATTAATACATCACATTTCTAGTTCTCTTAATCTTAGCGTTGCCAATTTTGGACTTACCAGTACAAATAATTTAGATAATACCGATACTAATTAAAATTTTCACGGAGTTCTTCCTTACATGAGTCCGGAGGTATATGGAAAACTATATACTCAAGCTGCAGATATTTATAGCTTTGGGATGATTACGTATGAGGTTGTCACAGGTGAACGACTATTTAGTGAATGAAGCCATAATATACACCTTGTTCACGACATCAATAAAGGAGCACGACCTAAGATACCAAATAATGTTCCCGTATGATGCAAATTGATTTTGAAAAATGTCGGGATCCTATTCCAAATAACAGACCGACTGCTGAGGAAGTTTCTACTTTTTACGGTCACTTACAGTTCTAAAACTCAAAACCGAACCCTTTGCTCTTTCAGACTGCAGCTCCGCAAAAGTTCAAAATTAACAAAGGTCTTAGATCGGAAAAGCAGAGTTTAAATAAACTTGATGAGGAGATGCAATTGCACAAAGGCAGTCCTACAAAAAACCGCAAATCCACTCAAACGTAGTTTACAACAGTCGAATCTTTGCAATTTCAATTCCAAATGATACAGGTACCTTTATTTCTAAATATGATTATATAATTTCTTTCGGATTTGGGCCCACAAATGACAGTTTGTATTAATACACCACATTGTGAAGATATATCGAGTGTCGTACATAAACAAGAACATTGTTTATTGTTAGAACACTTTATTAAATTAACAATATATAATTTTAAATTATATGAATCTATAAATGCGTATAATGTAATAAAATGTGGATTACGTAATGTTCTCACTCAAAAATGTAGTAATATTAAAAGGTTTTATTGCTCAGATTATGCAATTTCTTTTGGGATAAGGTCAACGGATCTTAACAATATAAAGAAACCTCAATACAAATAAATAAATGTTATAATATCGATGTTATAAATCGACTTTTTGATACTATGGTGACCATTTTTAGTTGCTATATAATTGCCGTTTCAAAAATGAAATAATGTTCAGCGTTTATATAAATGTCATTTCAAAAATGGAATGATATTCGGGTTTATATGGTTGATGGCTAATTACATTGCTCAATTATTTATTTATGCGAGTCTCAAAATATCTTTATTTTGATAAATGATGCTTTGACAAAAATAAATTTCTTTCGAAAGATAGCTCCATTGTTTAAAAGTCATAACTTATTCGATGAAAATAAGTATATAATGCATAACTTCGATCATGTTCTCTTCTTGCTAAAATATATCTGGTCGATTAATCAAATTTAAAGATAATTAGAATTTACTGCGTAATGGATATCTACGGTTGATCCGTGATATATCTAAATTATCCCCTGGATCCTAACGCCCGTGATTTTCTTACTGATATTTTCGTCACGCTTTCCCACTGAAACTAGCGCACGCACTTATAATTAAAATTTAAATGCTTTTGTGCTAATAATTCCCTGTACAATACATTATTAAAATATGATTCTAAACAATTCCCCCTTATCCAATACAATTTTAAATGTGTTGTTTAAAAATTATCGTATGAAATATTTATAAAGTCTGTTTGGATCGGGTTTGATCCGAAAATCGTAAATTATTTTTTCGTTAATAACTTTTATTTTTACTAAGACATTTGTATTTGTGTCTTAAGTAGAGTTGTTTGGAATATATCCACAAAATTTCGTTTAATTTCAATTAATATTGAACGAGAAATAATGATTTTTAGGCTGACCCGAAATATTTCGGGTCAGGTTTCGGGTTGACCCGAACCTATTGGAGCTTTAAATATTTATTGATATTTTACAGATGATTATTTTTATTTTACATGCATTTTAAACTGCGACAGTTCCAACTGTGAAAATATCAGCGAGTAGTATTACGGACGACCATTAAGAGGAGACTTGGGAAATAAATATTTATACTCGAGTTTGAATAAGATTCAACTTCTACTCGGGTGGAGTCAATGACTCTCATTGACCAAAAAGATTTTCGTATAGGTCACGAGTTCTAATAACATAGATACGATTTACTCGTTAAGAATTCTGTTACGTATCTGTTACATACCGATACGTATTACAATCTAGAATAGGAATAGATTTCCTAGGAAATTGGTGCTTAGGATTGATTTAATTAATAAAAATAATAAATCGGAGTGGTCCGTTCCAATAGGGACAATTTGCAAAAAAATCCCGGTTTCTTGAGTGAAATTTATGATAGACCGTTTTACGATTCAATCCAGTTTAAAAGAATGACAGAACAAATTCAACTCATACTAGTTCGTTTAATCACGTATCTAGTCCGCTTGACGAAGAATTGTCTAAAATTAGAAAAATTGAATATCTTTATATAAAAATATAAAGATATAGATACGTATAGTGTTAATATTTATCACATGAATTTAAATAAAAAGCCCCGTAGACTTGCGAAAGGTTTTTTTTGCACTACTTTAATGAATGATACGTGATTGGGGTATGAGATACTCTATGTAGATCAAATCTATTTGAGATATAACGATAATAATAAATTTTGTTAGTACAGGTTTTAAAAGCTTAAAACTTTTCAAGAAAAAGAGATATCATTCTCAAAATAGTACCAAAATATACTATAAGAGATATAATTTTAATGTACGTTGAGTATTTTTAAATTTTAATAATGATAAAAAAATTTATATAAACTTTATAAGAAAAATTTATATACGTATACATATCGATATAATAAAAAAATCTGTATTATATAACAAAATTTATTACATGTATTGTATCTCAAATAGATTTGATCTACATAGAATATCTCATATCCCAATACGTGATGATTTATGGATAACATTCAAACCAGTTATTAGTATGAAACCCAAAAAGTTCATTTATATAATACTTTCTGTGAATTGTCTTTTGAGGTTACAAAAGTTAGGATTCCGTTTTTTTAAAACAATACAATAGTCTATTAATTTAATAATAACGCTTTCTAAAATAATGAACCTTACGTAAGTCGTTAATTCATGCAATTATATAACATAAACAAAAAGGATGATACTTTTTTTTTAATTTATGACAAAGTAAATCGGACGCTCTAATAAAGAAAATTTATATTGCGGTACGATTTATCAATAGAAACTTCCGATGATCAATCCGTTAAAAATTTACATGCGTCAAATGCATTGTTATTTCTTTATTGATCTTTTTCATTAATTTCTATCGCTATCGCTATACTTCGCTTTAACGTTACATTTCGATCGCTAAAACATGGAACGACTTACGTATTAATCGCAAACTAGACTATATGATCATAACGATAAGGTCAAACTATACTCGGCTTACTAATTAGTGGTACATTATTTGCATAGTAATTTCATAGATTGAATCTTAGATAAGAATACCCCGTTTTTAATTTAGCTTAAAGGTTAAGAGAAGGTAGAAACTTAGAAATATAGATTAATTTAAAAGAGGGAAAGTTGTCCAACTGTATTTGGCGCAATTTGTAAAAGAGGTAACTTCGTCGAACTGTCTTTAGTTTAATAAAAAATTGATTGCCATTTTAGGAATTTTTCGAGCTTCAGTTCTTCCTTTATTATTCCAAAAGTTTTTGATGCTTAACGGAGACCGGCCGTCCAGATGCTTAGAGATTTTTGACCAGCTTCCTCCAAATTTTTCGTGCAAGTAGTAGATTCTGATCTTTTCTTCGTTGATAAACGGGGTTCTTATTACTAAATATAATATAATAATGTTAGAAGATAATAAGCCCATAAATGATTACAACTACGGACTCTTACCATAATCGCTAAGCTGGTTCAACCATCTTGATAATAACCAAAAAAGAATTAGATTGCATATTTGTAAGACTTTGCATGCACCTTTAGAAAATTTAACATACACATACCTTTCACGACATTGCTTTGCGGATCGAGTTTTGTGAGATTTCGCAATCAAGGACCACTTGGGTCCATTTTTTCTATATAATTCTCGCAAAGTCTCATCTTCCTAATGCCGTTGCAGGAAATTGACAAACAATTCAGAAATTCCGTGTTAAGCGAAAGATATGCTCAAAGATGTCTTTAAAAAATAAACCTTGAATGTCCAACGATTTCTTGTTACCCGAGTATTTCCTAAAGGTTCAGAAAAAATAGCCATTTGTTCTACAAATGTTTTTAGTGAGGATTCAAAATAATTCAACTAGCTTTCATAGATATCTTTATATATTGTTTTTGTAGTTGAACAAAAAAATTCGATACAGTCAAAATTTAGTGCTTCCGTGTGTTGAAAAGCATCTTGCATAATTAAAAGATGTTTAAATGAGTTGATAATGTTTTATTGTAATGTCACTTTTATTATCACTACAGAAAATTAACTTCTCTTCTATTGGTTGTAATTAACTAATCACAGAATTAAGCAAATTCATATAAATTTACAACTCAGTAATTGGTTCCAAGTTTCACTTATTTGAATTCCATCACGGGAAAGCAAGCGATGCTCCGTTTTTTTCCAACAAATTAAATGCGAAACTTTTAATAATAAATTGGAACAAATAAGATTATACGAAACATTATGTTCACACTTTGAAGGTGAATTAGTATGATAGAACTAAGATAACTTTGACAAATACTATTTTATAAATAGAGATTCGTCAGTTAACTGTTAAATTATTACGATAGAGTAAGTTCAATTATTGCGATTTTATTTAAAGTACATGTAATTTGAAATACGTATTACGCAATGCGATAAAATAGCTAACGTTAATAATCAGCACGGGCTTGCATTACGCGCAAACAAAAGCGAAATAGATATCTCGATATTCATATTGTTGCTGTAGCAACACGAAATTCTCTAATTCCATAATTTCTTCATAATTTATATTATTATTTATCACGTACCACCCCAATCCCCATTTCGCATGATTATTACTATTTCTAACCTTCGTGATCATCTTCGTTATTACATATCGATATATTTAGCACTTAATACATGTTCATGTAATTATGTTCCTTTTTAAGAAATCCTTTGTTGGACTAATTTTACATTTTTGGTAATTGTTTGTATTATCGAGCTGACTGATAATTTCAAGTTGATACATGTACATGTAATTGCTAGTGAATACTTTCTTGTGGATAATTTCTAGCTGATATTTTTGTTTCTATTTTTGTAGGTCTATAAAACGAAATGTGTAATTACTATAGTCGAAGGATTGTTATAAAAGGAGCTTCTTTCAAGTAAAAAAAGCTCATGCTCTGATCAATAAAAGTGCCAACTTGTAAAATATACTTGTTAACAAATCGTTTCCCTTGATCATCTTCAAAGCTTGTGTACAAGTAGTAGAAGCCCTCTACTATAAATAAGCCATACCTTGATTTTGTAATTTTATTATTTTGTTGGTCGCATCAATAAGTCCAACCCTTTTGTTTTAAGCGCTTTTAATATTTGTGAATATTTGGTTTAAGTTTTGTAGGTCGTATCAATAAATCTTACTTGTTATTTTAAAGTTTAGTTATTATTTATCTGAAAATACCTTTGTTTAAAGACTCCACCTTTTATCAGTGTTGATTTTCGTAAAAATCATCACAGGAGACCTTTAGAACTCTAAGAGAACCCCTCTTTTAGTAGATCATTCGGTCTAACTCATAATTAACGTGTTGTGATCTCTTCGCCGGTTGAACAAACTTTCGAGGAGACATAACAATATTATGGAGATCTCCCACTCAGGCATTTGTGTCTTCTCTGCAGATTTTTTGCAAATGATTTTGATATTATACATCTTCTTTTCAAGTTCGCAAGTATCGAAAGATGAATTCGTAAATGAATATTAAAGAATAATTTAAAACATATAATATAACGATAATATAACACAAAGCCTAACGTCAAACATTTACCATTTAATAATCTATGACTAAAATTTACATTTCATAGACGCAATAAACAATAGTGAGTATAAATAAATGTTTTCTTAGAAAGATGGTGGAAAAGTCCTATATAATGAAGAGTTTTCGGAAAAGCTCCATAAGCCATAATTATCCAATAAACCTGTCTTTCGTAAACCATGTACATTAACGTTAAAGAGCGGAAAAATAATAATACTCCGTACTCCTATACTGAACAGTTCACCATTTTCTGTAGCTTGTTTTTTAGTTATTCCATACGTATAAACACCGCATTTTAGAGCAGTCTGAATCTATTTTAAAGCTTAATTGTGTTAGAAAAAAACAACATGCTTATACTCTGAAATTGTTCAGTTTTACCCCTCGTTTATAAACTCAAATGTATTTTACTTTGAAATCTGTAATGATTTCAACACAACTACGCGTTCTTGATATCAGTTAAATTTATTTTCTTCATGATCCACATGGACTAGTGATATAATGGTCCGTCCAACCAGAATGCTTTTTATAAATTGTTCCACATTTGTACGTAAATCAAAAGATAAAGTAATTACCGCGCATTCTTTTATTAAAAAATCGATATCTTTATCTTGTGATATTCATTAGATCCAAAGCAGTAGTAATTTTTTTAACAAGTATATTACTACAAGAGATTACGTCTACAACATGAATCTGATCTATTATAAGAAGAACCTGTTATAATCATAAAAGACGTTTTCATGCATAGCGTAAAATCGCGATAACGACACACAAATAGAATTATGATAACAATAAATACCTTTACTTTTTTGTTAATAACCAAATGGGTTAACACAAAAATCGATTTACAACAAGACTTCCACATACGTATATCGATATTATTATCTCGTTTATTTTACCATCATTTCAAAAGTTTTAAATAAAATACTGCACATAATCACTAAAGCAATTTTATAAGACGGATTCATGCAATCATTGCCAAGTAAGGATTTATCATTCCAATAAATAAATCAATTAATTGTTGTACATTCACAGAAAGAGCTATCACTATTTATTACGTATATATGCACTTGTGATATTTTTAGCATGCCGAATGACATTCAAGCCCCTGTGTTGACATGAATAGAAAGTGCATCATGTGTTGATTTTCTAAGAGCATGATGTCCGAACTAGAGGCATGCAAACAAGGCGGTTTCTATTGTTTATCAACTTGTTTGTGTTTACACATATATCGATGTGTATTTATCGTTATAACTATCATTTAAATTTATTCACTTATTAAACTACTTCTTTTTATTAAATCTACCTCTTTTATATGTATTTAGAGCAATATAACAAAAAGCACAATAAGACTTTCTAAATCCTACAGTAAGGGATACCAGAAGCCATACAATCAAATGGGAATTTAAATGGTTAGATCTCATTCATAATCTATAAATGAAACAAAAATTCTCTTTATACGAATTGTAGCCGGATCAATGACTACAATTTGTATAAAGAGAATTTTTTGTTTCATTTATAGATTATGAATGAGATCTAACCATTTAAATTCCCATTTGATTGTATGGCTTTTGGTGTCACTCACTGTGACAATTGGTAATATAGTTTATTCAATTACATAATTTCATTTACCATTGTTTGCGAAATTATCGTTAACTACTATGCTTACTAATAAAGCACTTAAATATATCGATATACGTTTTTTTTGAGTTTGTTGACGTTAATCTGATAAACATAATCATGTACAATGTTTTTAATATGTATCACTTTTCGCAATAAAGTGTATCAATCCGTTAAGGCTTAACCTAATGACGTGAACAATGTATAAATTCACACGTATTTTTTTTTCCATTCTATATAGGTCTTGTACTAAATCCGGTTTAAATACGGAAATAATTGAGTGGTTAAGGTGAAATTTGATTGGGATGATGTGGATGACTTAGTCGAATAGTTCAGACAAGTTAAAAGATGTAGATGCAGGAGAACTGGAGCCTGCTGTTGTAGTTAATGAGAGCTTTGCGAAACCAACTAAAACACTTTTCAAGTAAAGTAGCATGCATATAATTTTAACAGCTACAAGATTATCTGCAATAAATGGATTTATGTTTATCATTTAAAGTACCAAAGCCTCAATTACACGCGTTCCGCCGCCTTATACAAGGGCTAATAATAATGCTCATAATAATGCTCATAATAATAATAATAATAATAATAATAATAATAATAATAATAAGCAAGCAGATGTGACCCGTTATTTTGCCGCTTTTTGTTCCAATGACTACTCATTTTGTTATCATTATAAAAAACCTCGTATATTATTGAAGTGCACGTGACTAATCACGAATTTGAACAAAAGCACCAGGATATTTAATAGATTTATCAGACCTTTATCTCTTCGATGTAGAGTAATACATATTAAGAAAGATAATTCACAACAGGGATTTAAAATAATATAAAAGAAAAAGATAAACTATAATATAAATTTAAAATAATATAACAGAGATTGTATCAGAAGCTATAATTATCTGTAACGATCGATATTGTGCATAACATCTAACGTCATCAAACGTTTGAATTTTATAAAATAGATAAACTTCTTTACTAAGAAGTAAATACACAATTTAATTCGTGAATATGTTTAGAAGGGACGATTCTATCATATTCACGGATTAAATTTTGTATTTGCTTCTTAGTAAAGAAGTTTATCCATTTTATAAATACAAATAGAATTTTTTATCACATCGTGAGTGCATCATTTTTCATCAGGTCGTATTCTGATCATATTGGTTAAATTTTTTCCGATCAATATATTTTCAGCCGCTCATCTTGATAGATAGCGGTAATTATACATGCTTTATTCCAAATCATGCTCGAAATGAAATTTAATGCTAAGTTAATCTCTTATGGACATAATATATAATCGTAATAATAATCTACTTCATTTTTATGATCTGTAATCCCTAATATCAAAATTTACTTCTGGTCCTTCAACTTCTCTTCCTTCAATATAAGCTTCAATGACAACATATAGAAATCAATCCCAACCAAAATTAAGCCAACTATTGTACTACCGCTATCACACTACGTATTAAATTAATAACATAAACACAAGAAAGGAAAATTAAAAAGGTGATTGTCACACTATTGAAACCTTCTGTTGCATATAAGATAAAGGTGGAAAAATTGATAATAAGAAGACGACCCAGATTTGAACGACAATTGTTATTATTTGCGCATATGTAAATTAGCCGTATTGTTATATTGGTTATGATATTATGGAAT